TGTGTGTGTGTGTGTGTGTGTGTATGTGTGTGTGTAATACATGCAGATATGGGATGCTGGGGTTTCTTGCTTGTTCCGTGGCCCCGTGTGGCCCGCGGTCAGTTCCTGTAGTGCTCCATCAGGTGAGAAGGCCTCCTTAGACTCTCTCCTCTTGGACTAGTTTTACTCGACTGCTTTGCCTTTGCTGTGTCAGAGGGAGCATTGCTGTTATAAAGAGCGGGTTCTTTCTTATGTAGTTCACACTCCTCTCTTGCTAGTTTAAAGGTAAGCATGTTTTCAGGGGTGGGGGCATTTCTATGTCTCCAGAAATTTGCATGCCTGAGCTTGGTGCTGGTGACCACCGGTGTCTCACGGTCTCCAGGCTGATTGCGCGTCAACAGTGATGAGTGTGAAACTACTCTGCTCTCCTGTGAGCCTGCACCGGAGGAGGTGGTAGACACTGGTCATGCCCTTTCCTTACAGGCCAGAACAAACCTCAGATGGAGGCTGAGCTGTTCGTTTGATCTCTAGAAGCAGGAGGTAAAAGTCTGTTTGGCAATCATTACATTTTATTGTGCACAGAAAGAACTTTCGTGTAGGTGGTCCAGTTAAAGACAGCTCCAATGCCATGTTTTGCTATGGAGGCCTGGGTCTCTAGGATGGCTACTGGGTCTCTAGGATGACCACCCTGCTGGTTGCCTGTCAGGATACGCTCAAAGACACCGCTCAGATCTGAACGACCACAGCATTGAAATGGCCTTGCTCTGTATAGCAAGTCTACTCTGCACACACAGGCCTCTGTGCCGTGAGATAGACTTGATTCAATGGCAACGAACAAGGGCACTTTGCTGTCTATTTCAAAGCCTCTGACTTTCTAATATCCAGCATGTTTGAAAATCTGTATAAAACTTACATGTAGTGCATCTGGTTGCGCTCCATGGCGGTCTTAATGGCTTCGGCGTCCTCTTCCCTCGCCCGGAAATCCACCGTCATATTAGCCGTCACGTGATGGGTAGCATCTGGATACCAGAAGTCCAGCTGCAGAGGTGAAGGCAGTGTCAGTCACGTCTAGTTATCTGCTTATCCGACACACACTTCCACCACTCACTTGTCTGTCCCTTTGTTGTACTATAGCGCGTGCATGTTGCTGTGATGCCGGAAGCTATGTCACAGGTATTTCCAACATCGGTAGGGCCAACCGGGGTGTACAGGTTTGGGTACTTAGTCTTCTAGACTAAGACAGACATTGACGAAGGACTAGGCGGTCCACTTCTGTGGGATCAGCCATGGGCATTTTTGTGAAGAGCAGGGGAACATTGTCTGTCATAGTGCCTGTAAGTGAACCACCCCCGCCCCCGCCCCCACCCATGAGAAGGGTCTGAAAACAGGACACAGTGGCTGCAACCGTGGGCTCAGAGCCAATGGCCACGGTGAGGGTGACTCAGGACCGGCAGGGTTTCATGCTGCTCTACAGAGATAGGGTCAGCCTGGTCAGAGCCAATTCGAGACCAAACCACAGCAAGCGCCATCACTCATTTGGGTTTCATTGGTGACCAGGAGCCCCGGGGGCATAGTGATTCGTCCCTGGGTTGATAACCATAAGGTCAGCAGTTCAAAACCACCAGCAACTCTGCTGTAGAAAGAACAGGCTTTCTACTCCGGTAAAGAGTAACCCACAGGGGCATTCTCCCCGTCCCATGGAGTTGGCATCAGCTCATGGCGGTGCGTTTGGTTTGGCGACTGTGCTGTCGGCCCTCTTCTTAATGAGCTTATAAGATTTGTGAACATATGTCTAAAAGCGATCAAGTATTCAAGAGTGGGTAGTAGACTGTTCATGCGATGACTTTCTCAAGACAGAACCCTCCCCTTCCCCCCAAACCCAAACTCATTGCCACTGGGCCAATTCCAATGCAGAGTGACCCTACTGGACGGAGCTTCAAATATCTTCCTCAGAAGAGCAGCTGGTGGGTTCCCAAGGCTGACTTTTCCCGTAGCGGTCGAGCACTTGACCACCGCAACATCAGAGCTCCTTTGGAAGACACGCTCAATGACCACCGTGCCTTTAGAGCACAGAGTGACCCGACAGGGTTTCTGAGACTGTCTGCCGTTCGGGGAGCAGCCAGCCTTATCTTCCTCCTGTGTAGCAGAACTAGTGGCTTTGAACCCTGGACCTTGTGGTTTGTAATCCACAAGCTCTAATCCACAACACTGCCAAGACTTTTTTTTTTTTAAAGATCCAGTAAGTATAAATGCAAAAAAAACAAGTCAACTTTTGGCTAACTGGTTTTCTCCCACTAGTTTGGGGTTAATTGGAAGTTTTCTGCAATTGGCTTAGTTACAGCATCTGGCTCTAATTCGGAATTTAGATTAAGTTCGCCTCAGTCAAGCCTCAATACCAGATGCCCTGGGACTCTGGAGTTTCTGGAAGGCGTGTATCCAACAGATGCTGTAACCTCCTCGCTCTGCCGGTTGGCTAACAGTACATCCATTGGCAAGTGACTGATACTTTTAATATTTCTGCCTCTTTCCTTGAAAAACAAAACAAAACAACCCCACCCCCCCACCCCCCAAAAAACATGAGTCCATTGGGAGTGTCGTGAAAGTTGCTAGTTAGCTATGAGGCCTGGGACACACACAGGCATTGAGTCTGAACTGCGAACTCCCTTCTCTTTCCCTGCCTCTAGCTGAGAATTTCAGACATGTGGGGAATGTTTCCAGAAATTTAGGTTAAACAACAACAAACAAGGAAAACCACATTGAGAAGATTCCAGTTCTGTGGTTCTTTAAACTCACTCTTGCTTTGTCAAATCAAATAAAGCCTAACTCCTCAACTTGGCAAATGGGAGGGAAATATTCAATTTTTAGCTGTCATGCCAAGGTCATGACTCTGTCTACGTCTCTGGTTCCATCAGTCATGGGGCAACATGAGGCTCCTGGGAACCCAACCATCGACTTATTTTGATCAACCTTCCTGGACCGGACACGAGAGGCATATGATTTAAATGCGAGTGAGTTAGACAGGACTATCCAATCAGGAGAGTCGTTTCTTGGTTCTGATAGGGCGATGTGGAGTAGGATGATAGAGAGCAGGGCATTTTCACGAGCACATGTGTAAAGAATAGAACTAGGCACTGTTGCTAGAAAGGCTCGTGAGGCACTTAGACGAAGCACGAGGTATGGTGGGAGTCAGAGCCGTGTCTTCCAAAATGCCAACCAATGGCAGGGACAGGGGTCCGGCCTGTCCCACGGGTTCATAGAGAAGGCTTTCCGCAGGAGGTGCTGCCTGAGCCAGACCTTGAAGAATCGGCAGGAGCCAGGCAGGTGAAAGAAGTCCTAGTGGCACAGGAGTTAAAGCACACAGCTGCTAAGCTCAAGGTTGGTGGTTTGAGTCTACCGGCTACTCTGAGGGAGAAAGAGGTGGAAGTCTGCTTCTGTGAGCCTTGGCAGCCCCATGGGGCACTGTGACTCTGCCCTACAGTGTCCCCATGAATGGCATCGTCTTGACAGCCTCTACTTGGTTGGATGTTAAAGAACTGACCTGGTCTCAGAATCTGCTCTGGGAGAGGGTCCTGGGCAGTAAAAAAAAAAAGGATAAGAAGCAGCCGGCATCTTTTAGAGAACAGAAATAAATGATAAAGTCGCCTGCGAAATAGTTTTACCTCCATTGCTTTGGCCAAGTCCTTTATGATGGTTGCTTGCTTTTCATCCGTGAGCTTCACCCGGAACACCTTTTCCCTTTAAGAACGTGAAAAATGACCAGTGTGAACTCTCAAGAAGCACTCCTCCATTCGCTTTCACACCGAAGCACGGGACCCAGGGCAGGGAGACGTACCTGTCAAAGCGGACAGGAGCCATCGCCAGGGCGGCCGCGATCAAACTCACGGACAGGAGGAGCCTCATGGTCCCTCTTCGCTGGATAGAAGGCCCCGGGTCAGTTTTATGCCTCTGTTCTTATCAAGATGAGCAGCTGATTTCCTCTTTGGGTTCTGTTAGATGAACTGTCTCCCCCGTCTCTATTGCCCTAGCTGGGGAGGGAGAAAAAAGATACAGCGCTCAGCGACAGCACAGGGACAGGCAAACTGCCGTGCCACTAGGACTCCTTTATGATGGGGATGTTCCTTTACTGGCGAACCGTCAGAGGCAAATTACTTTTGCAAATAACTTGGCGAGGTGGCAGAGCTGGTACGATGAGATCCAGGCTTGGATGGTCTTCATTGGAGGTTGGCTTTAGAATCTGCGTGTTTTAATGCCCTCAAAGTCTTTCTGAGGCTTAAAGTAGTGAAAGTCATTTAATCAACACAACTTGGTTTATTTGGGAGAGGAAACCTTTACCTATAGCTACAGGGTACATTATACGATGAGTGAATTTATGTAATCAGATGCCTTATCACAAATGTCCGCTTAAAACTGCCCCTTCACTTCTGTCTCCCTCTACTGCCGTGGTTCTCCACCTTCCTGATGCCGTGACCCCTTCATACAGTTCCTCATGTGGTGGTGGCTCCAAACCAAAAAATTAGTTTCATTGCTACTTCATAACTGTAAACTTGCTACTGTTATGAATCAAAATGTAAATATCTGATTGCAGGATGTTTTTTCATTGTTACAAATTGAAAATAATTGAAGCATACTGATTAATCACAAAACAATGTGTAATTATGTATTGTGAAATATTTATGTGTTTTCCGATAGTCTTAGGCGACCCCGTAAAAGGGTCATTCGACCCTGAAAGGGGTCCCGACCCACAGGTTGAGAACCGCTGCTCTCATGGTTTTCGGGCGATGCCCCTAGTCTATGTACAGCACCCACTGCTTCCTTGCCCTCCTTCTCATGGTGAAGACTAACACAAGACTTTCTTCTAGCTGCTTAAGAGGTTCTCCTCCAAATCTGCAGCTCACAGTGAGAACGTTGCACAAATGCCTTTGTGCCCGTGCTTGATGTGGGGTGAGCTCATCCGCACTGGAAATCCCGAAGCAAAAGCACGTTCTGCTGCAGCAGCGCCCCCGAGAGGCCGTTCCGTTCTTTGTCCGGCAGCGTGCAGGCTGTGTGCCTTGGGTGTGGCTGGAAGCTGTGTACCTGTCATTTCAATGCTGCAAACATCCTCCATAACTGGAACATAAAATGCATCGGTCCGAATCTAGAACACCGGAAGCTGTTGGCAGTGATGCACTGAGGACTGCTGGTGTATTTATTCAGAACTAAAAACAATATTTTCAAGGTCTGTCCTGAAGGACAACTCTGTCAGTGGTAGGATAATACTCATCTGCCTGGAAGGAAGGGGAGTTAATATAACTATTCAGATTTC